CAAGTGCATCCCTATTTACATTTGTGAACCAAGAAGCTGGAAATTAGGAAATATTAGTTGTTTAACCTTATCACCAAATATGATTGATTATATGCTTTTCAATGCCTCCTTGTTCCCCCTTAGCTTTTTTCCATCCTGCTGAGCTTCAGAGTCCAGTGGGATCCTGTGTACTTTTTTAAAAAATGTATTGAAACAAAACAAAGGCTCCTATTCAATATGGTTTCTTTGGCAAAGTCAAGATGAACAGAAATGGTACTGAAGCTTAGTTAGGCTTATAGATATCTCTGGTACCACATCTACGGTGCATAATGCGAAATGGGATTGTAGTCAGAATTCACTTTTTTTCAGCCATGTGACAACAGACCCATACCCCCTTCCCCCACCCATGCTCTTCTCAAATTGGCATCAGATTTTCCCCTCAGTTTTAAGTTTTCTCTTACTGACTTATTGACAGAACACCATCAGTGATGAAACATAGGTAAATCAGCCCCACTATTAATGCAAGCAGTAGCTCTCCTCCCTTTCCCATATCCTTAGAGTTGCTTTTTACAACACCTACATTTGCAGTATATTTGGACAAGCAAACGTGCTTTGAGGATTTTAGTGTACAGATAACCCTTGAGTTATGACCATTCATTCAATGAGTGTACAAAATTATGATGGCGTTAAGGAAGGGGATTACAATGGGTCTTCAGAGTTCCAGTTGTTGTGACTGTGATTGCGATCCAGGTGCTTGGCACCCTGCTTGTGATTATTATATTGCAGTGGGCCATGATCACATGGCTTCCCATAAGCAAAGTCTGTGCACGTGTGTGTGTGTTATTCAAAACAACAGGATTTTCCCACAGGAAAGCTTATTTCAAATCCATCTGGACCCTTTGTAACTTTCCAAAATCAAGCTCCTAATTGATGTTTATCTCAAAAAACAAAACTGTTAAAGTGCTTAAATTTGTACTTAAATCTTGTTTCACAAAGGTTTAAAGGAAACTCACCCAGGCTGGTAAAACCTGACATGCTGAAGTTCCTAATATCTTAAAAGCAATGAACAAGCAATTTCATTCATAGAATCATAGAATCACAGAGTTGGAAGGGACCTTGGAGGTCTTCTAGTCCAACCTGTTGCCCAAGGCAGGAGAGATTAAGTGAAAAGTGATTAAGAAAGAAAGCATGCAAAGTCTGTGTCCTTAAAGGTGCTACCACAATGTGGGTATAGGTGGCTATTTTTTCAGTTCTAAATCTGCCAGAAACCACTTTCTTGAAGTCTCATGAGGAGCAATTATTGGGAATACTTGTGGGCAATCCCAAGTCCTCTCCATATCCAAAGAGGAATCCATTTGCCAGCTCTTCATTCTATCATCGTTGTTGGCGCCGTTCTCAGTGGAACCATCTTCAGTTAACAATTTCTTCCCTGGAAATCCTCATTGTTATTAAATATTGAACTGAAGAAGGTTTTTTGCTTCTGGTTTTACATGAACCTTGAAGGAGCAGTAGCTTCCCTTTATCTTTCACTGATGGCTTTGGAGGTTATGTATATACTTTCAATGTATGTGATATTATGATAAAAGCTCTTGAGTATTGTTCATATGTGCAGCTGCTTGTTTTTCTTTTAATGTTTAATTATAATCAAATTTATTTTATAATAGCTGTTCATTAAAATCATTGTTTTCACATCAGCTCCTCCTTCTCTTCTATTAATATTTTATCTTGCAGTCTACTTGGATCATAAATTCATGATCTGTATTAACCTATTACCTACTGCCATATTTAAACTGTTTGCCCATCCTTATCTAAGGAGGAACAAACAACTCCAATTTTAGTCTGTTTCAGTTTTCTGGTACCTACTAGGGTAAAACACATTATCACATTATAGCTACATTTTAGAGCTCAAGAGTTTTAATACAGCTATTAGTTTAAGGCAAAAATGATTTAATTCTGATGGATTCTCCTGAAGAAAAAAGTTTGTAGTTTTAATGTTTCAGTAATTTTTTTGTAAAAGCTGTCTAGTATTTAAATAACTTTTAAGACTTTAGAGCTTCCACAGATATAGAATTTTAATAATCTAGAAAGTCATGTTGGAGAGAAATATTTGTTTATCAAGTTTAATATTAAGTGAATACCTGATTTTCTATTATAAAGCACTCAATGTTAGTATAGGTGCATTTGTCAGATTTTTTTATTGTTAGACATTTTATTATCCTTTCTAACATGATTTATGGCAGACAATAGCATTGTTCCAATTGTATAGCTTTTATTAAACCAGGATAAACATCTTCGGAAAAATGTCTTGCCAAATGTTTCAAAAGGGAAGCAACAACATTCTTTTTGTCTGGTTTTTATGGATGTCTCCGTGTTATTAATGGAGTCATTGGAACTTTATATAGGTAGTCCTTGACTTACAACAGTTCATTTAGTGACCGTTCGAAGTTATAATGGCATTGAAAAATATGATTTATGACCATTTTTCACACTTAATGATCATTGTAGCATCCCCTTGGTCTTGTGTTCAAAATTCTAACGCTTGGCTCATATCTATGGCGGTTGCAGTGTCCCAGGGTCATATGATCACTTTTTGCCAAGTGTCAGAAGCAAAATTAATGGGGAAGCCAGAATCACTTAACAACTGTGATACTAATTTAATAATTGCAGTGATTCACTTAATAACTATGGCAAGAAAGGTTGTCAAATGGGGCAAAATTCATTTAACATCTGTCTCATTTAACAACATAAATATTGGGCTCAATTGTGGTCATAAGTCGAGGATTACCTGTAGACAAAGCTATAAGCCAGCTTGCGACAAGACAAATTCAAATAAATAAAAGCATATATACAAACATACATATATATATTTAACATACATTAACCAAATTCTTGTTTGGGTTGGGATTTCCTCCTGCTAAGAAAAGCACCCCTCACTTGGAAAGGAAGAAGGTGATTATTTCCACCTTCCTTATCCTGAGTTTCCTCTGAAGATTTGCTCTTGAGACGCTTTGTGTTTCCTGAATGGGCATCTGTGGGGAACAGACATGTTTAACCTGGATCAGATATTTTTAGTAGCCTTTGAATGAATCTTTGTTCTCTCAGGAGGCTAAATACAATGTGCAGATTTATATTAGGGCTGTTCTTCAAAGCATTCAGCTGGGGTGCTTCACAAAACATGTTAAGCCTGATGACGCACCCCTGTGTGAAGTATTAAAACAGTGCATCCTTTGTTAAGCTCACTCTGCTTTTTTCAAAAGTTGTGCTCAACTGTCCTCAGGTGTGTGTGTGTGTGTGCGTGCATGGGCAACCACTTTGCTAAGAATTCCTACAGACCCCAAACCTTCAGACAGGCTAAAATGAGTCTCGCAGGGGATATGGTTGCTTTAATGCTTGAGGAAAAGCATTGGATTGAGAAAAATAGAGTTTAATCCTTTGATCACCACAGAGCCTTTTTTCTTCTTACTGAGTGCTAGAGTGTTTGTTTTTTTTGTTTAGGACGAATCAGACGATAGTCCTTCATTACGTATCTTTGAACCCTATAGGTCTTGTTAAGGATTTGTGTCCTTTCCTGTGAGAAGAATAAATGCAACAGGTCCCCTGCTGTAGTACAGTTCTACTGATTTGACAGATCTCTCTTGATAACGTTCCAACCTGTAGTCCTGCTCCTGCCCCCCCCCCCACTTTTGCATCTGGCCCCTTTGCTTTCAGCTCCTTCTGCAAGGTAGCTAAAACTAGCAAGTTCAGGCAACATTTTGAATTAAAGTAGCAAAACTGAGTTCTTGTTTTGTTTGAAATCTCATTCTGTTGACTCAAATCTGATAATGTATGTGTGTCATGGGACTTTAATGCATTCTAATGTACTTTGTGTTTGCAAATCACTTGGAGACATATGAATAAATGAAAAAAAAAATATCAGTTAAGTTTCTAGGTAAGCCACAGCAATTGCTGTTGGATATCGGTCTTGGGGGAAAAAAAGTAAAGTGGTCAAGAAGATTTTCCAACAATTGCAATAGGCATTTTTGATTGATTGATTGATTTAAAGTCTCCTTAAAAGATTTTTTTAAAATGTACAGCTAGACAAAGGTGATATTAAATTAAATTGTCAGGATTTAAAATATAATTTTTAGGCCAGTTTGGTCTAGCACAGGGGTAGACGACTTTGGCTCTTTTATGACTCGTGGACTTCAACTCCCAGAATTCCTGAGCCAGCCATGGCTAGCTCAGGAATTCTGGGAGTTGAAGTCCACTAGTCATAAAAGAGCCAAAGTCGTCTACCCCTGGTCTAGCAGTTAGAAACCAGGAGATGGTGAGTTCTAGTCCTGCCTTGGCATGAAAGCCATGGGTGACTTTAGCCAGTCATTCTCTCTCAGCCCAATCCCCCTCAAAGGGTTGTTGTTGAGGGGAGAATAGGAGGAGGAAGGAGTATTCGGTATGTTTGCCGTCTTGTTATTTACCAAAGTAATAAAACTCTAAACAAAATAATACAGCATCTCTTCGTTTTTTCCTGCTTAGAAGAAGCCTACAATTGATGAAAAAAAAGAATTTGATCTCAGTGTATGAAACATATCAAAAGCTATCCATTAATCTTTGGTTGAAATAATGAGGCTCAGAATACACTTTATCATGTGAACCATTGTCCATATGTTGTTATTTTCTTAAAGTGAAGCACTATTATTGTCAGTTTTTATTCCTCATTTTTTAATCTTTTACCAAGTTTGTGGGCTTACAAAAGCTGCTGTTTTCACTATATTGAGGCAAGCTGTTCTGCCTTTGACATGTTAGTTTATTTTTTTATGTAATATGTTTGTAAACATAGACCAGTTTCTTTCACCTTTTAAAAGAATTTTAGGATGAATTTCATACTTTCCCCTTTTCCCATTTTTAGGTTTTTATCAAATAAAAATAATAAGCCTTGGGGAAAGAAGAAAAATACAGTTCTTTATCAGTATTTTGTTCACTTCTTTCTCTTGTTCTTTGGCATTTCATATACTTATATAGAAACTGTGGATTAATAATAATAACAACTGTGAAATAGTGCTAATCCTTTGCTTCCATCTTGATGTTGAAAGGAAGGATACTGACAGCTAAATTGCTGCCTTTATACTGAAAAAGAGTGCCATAAAGTGGGGATGTCAAGGGTCCCTACTCCTTCACCATCTGGAGAGATGTCCAGTGGACCTGTGGCTGAAAGCTGGTGTTACACACAGGTAATGTAGTGTCTGAGTTCAGAATATGTTATTAGCATAATTCTCATACATTAGCCACATTCAAGTTTGCCCTTTTGGCTACTTATTCTCTCTCAGTCCAGCCCTATTGTATGGTGTTGTCATGGTAGGAATGAAATGGAGATCCCAAATAAACTGCCTTGAAATCTCAAAGAAAATCTAATAAACTAAGTAAAAATAAATCAGCCTTGAGAAAGAGGCATTGCCCAAAAGTAATGATAATAGCCATGCCTGAAAAGCCATCCAAAGAAATATTTATGATTCTGGTTTTCAGAAAGAAGAACAGGGAGATAAAAGTTGGATAATGACGTTTTAGCAAAAAAAAACAAAAAAAAACCAATACACACGCACAAAGAGCAAAAAGCAGTGACAGTTTTACAATAGGCACAAGATTAAATACCAGAGTTTGGCGAGTTGTCAAAAAAAAAAATAGATGAACAGCCTAAAGTCTTTGAAGTGTTCAATGTGCACCTGACAATGACAAAGAATAGCCGGTGGTAATTGGTCACTTAGCCTTTCAATAATGAACCAGATTTCAACAGTTAGTATTACACAGTTCAGTTGTATCTCTGTGTTTGGTGGTATGCAGTGAAAGTCTTTTTCCCCCCATCTGTTTGAGTCAGCTTCAGATCCTTCTGATGACATGTCCATGTGAGTTTCTTAGCAGCGATATGGAAAGTGCGTGCAATTGCCTATCTCTGGATTTTTATCTATCTACGGCTCTGGTTTCCTCTGGCAGTATCATATCAAAGATTAACCAGACCTAATTCTGCTTAATTCAGAAGATTAAGATTTACCAGAAAATTCTAGTAAAAGTGAATAGTAAGGCTGTTCATGCTTCAAAAATGATTGGGTAGTACTACAGAATGGAGAGGGGAACAGAATTTTTTTAAAGCAGCCACATCTTGTTTCAATTTTCCATGTGAGCCTTAAAAATGTTATGGCTGCTTTAAAATGATGCTGATCCTAAGGCATTTTGAATAATCTTTTGACTCATTTTCAAAGTACATAGAAGAGTCACTTTTTATGAGATGGGCAGCTGTTCAATGTAATTTATAAATAATACAATTATAATATGCAGCATACAAATGCAAAAGGGATGTTCTGAAACATCCCAGGGCCCAGTATTTAAAATTTAAAAACTTAAAACATTGTTACATGTGTTAGCTTTTTGAATTCTGAGAAGCTATTAAGTTTCCTATTATTAATTTATTACTGTTTCCATTTAAGAGAAAGAGGGGATAAAATGCTGTAATCTTGTTCTATAAAACTAGGAAGAACAAGATGAATTATCTCAAAATGAGAAGCTTAAGTTTTATGCATTAGTAGCTCTACTGCCTGACATGACCATCAATGAGACACTATTTCCTGAGCAATCCATAATACAAAGAATTAGCATTATTACGAATTGAATTAATCAAATATTAGAAAGCAAATTAATCATGAATACAGCTTTCTCAATTCTGGGAGCCTACAGATTTATTGCTTTCCAGGACCAGGAGTTAGTAGTGGCAACTTCGAGTTAATGGAAAATAATTATATGTTGTGTTGACATAGTTTTTAAAATACAGAGTTGAGCTATTCCTTAATTCTACAAGATATTGCTTTGTTACCTTTAATTAGGTGAGCAGTTGACTTCTTTGGTAACTTTTTTAAATAAGGTTTGTAAAAGGTGAACTTTGTAAATTCACATAACTGTCTGCATTTCTTATGCAGGTTAAAGTTGTAAAGTTTTCTTATATGTGGACCATTAATAACTTCAGTTTCTGCCGAGAAGAAATGGGTGAAGTTTTAAAGAGTTCAACTTTTTCTTCAGGGCCAAATGATAAAATGAAATGGTAAGATAAATGCATTAATTTCTTTTTGCCTTAAATATAAGAGATTCCATGAACACATAATGTGTCAAGCTAGGATACAATACCTTTCTTCAAATGTTAGAACAATTGACAGAAAAACTGTCAACTACTACCAGTCACAATGACAGTCAACACAGCTAAAGGCTGAAATATAAATTGTCATACATATTGTAACATATTGAAATATACTGTAGTAATTTACAGCCTTTCCTCTGATATGAAACTGTCAGGGAATTGAGCACACAAGGCACACAAAAGAAAAGGGGGGGGAGGGAAACTCCCCCTCCATATCCACAGCAACCAATCACAGTGCAGATTGCCTCATGCAGGAGCCAACACTCTCTAACCATCAGCTATAACTGTGTGTTCCGGCTCATTGTACAACCCCATTGTTCCTGCTACTAAATTTAAATATCTTAACAGAAACACTGTGTGATCACTGAAAACATTTGGGGACCACTAAATTATGGGTTGGAAATACACATGTTTCCCTATCATGCCATATGTGACACCTTGCCCCAACCCAACATTAAACAGTTAATATAAAAAATTATAATGTTCTTGATGGTGAAAATCTTTTGAGATCACCAGATTGTCAAAGTTTTGATGTTTCTTCCTAAAATCTTGTAAAATTTGGTCTTTAATAGAATGTGGTGCAGGTTTGGCCAATAAATACTCATTTTTTGTGTTTGCGAATAAAAGGTATATTTATTGTGTTTAGGGACCACTGATGTAGTTTTGCATTTATATAAAACTAGCTCCTCACCTTTTCACTACTGAAACTCTGATAGGGTTCATATATCATGTTAAACCACATTTTGTTTAAACACAAATTGCTAAATAAACAAAAATAGGTGGTTACTTAGGCAAGTCTAAACCGGAGAAGCCATGTTAATTTAATGTAGCTCTCTGTGGCTTATTTAACTTTATGTGTAAACCAGGAATTCTTGTATGTTCTATTTTAAGTGCTTGAATTAGTGTGGTGTAAGAATGTTTTCATGTAATTCCCTTAGTGTTTATGTAACATTGTACTTAATATTTTGATTATAATTCACTCCTTTTGTCCCTGAGTGTGTGATACAAACATTCTTACTGAAAGCTTAATATTATTGTTATACTGAGCATCTTGAGGTGAGATGCAAATTGAGTAGATCAGTAGTTATTATTTAAAGAGAAAAATATGCTTATATTTAGTTTTCCTTACAAAGCCTGTTTTTTTTTAATTCGTGTGTTTTGAATATACAGGTAATTCTCGACTTACAACAGTTCATTTAGTGACCGTTCAAAGTTACAATGGCACTGAAAAAAAGGATTGTTTTTCACACTTATGACCATTGCAGCATCCCATGGTCACATGATCATTTGGTACCTGGCATGTATTTATGATGGTTGCAGTATTCCAGGGTCATGTGATCACCTTTTGCAACCTTCTGACAAGTAAAGTCAATGGGGAAGCCAGATTTGCTTAACCATGCTACTAAGTTAACAACTGCAGTGATTCACTTAACAACTTTGGTAAGAAAGGTCGTAAAATGGGACAAAGCTCACTTAACAACTGTCTCCCTTAGCAACATAAATTTTGGGCTCAATTGATGTCATAAGTCGAGAACTACCTGTATTTACACTCAGTCTCCATTGAGTAGCTTATAGAAATCACCATAGATTGTAATGAAGCTTTTTGAAAAAATAAAGTGAAAAAAGATGGGGATGGATTTTGTCACTTTTTTCTGCACTTTATCCCACATTGTTTTAAAGAGTCCTGTAAACTTTTATGGTGAACCCAGGTGTTGACAGGAAAAAAAACCCAGATTTTTCCTTGTGTTAAGATATTTATCAGATGTATTTTTTCTAGAGGAGCTATTCTACTTTATAAAATACTGAAATCTTGCCATTGAGGTAGCAGAGCAAGATTAGACTTGAAGATAATTGGATAGCAGATGTGATACTAATCCACAATAATGGAATATTTGAAGTTTGTAACTTTGAGGCCACACTGTTCAAAAATATAATTGCAAAATATCAATCTAAAAGAGAGAACTATTTACAGTTCCTTGTAAGGGACCTTATTCTAGCAGATTTGAAACACATTACCCTGTAAGTCCTGACATAAATATGTCTAGCCAATGACAATTTTTATTGAGTGTTGATATATAACCCAGACTTCTTACATTCCAGGTGCCTGAGAGTAAACCCAAAAGGTTTAGATGATGAAAGCAAAGATTATCTTTCATTGTATTTACTGCTAGTTAGTTGTCCAAAAAGTGAAGTGAGAGCAAAATTTAAATTTTCTCTCTTAAATGCTAAAAGAGAAGAAACAAAGGCAATGGGTAAGTGCATTTTTAAAATTACTCTAATGTTGACTTTCAGTGTGAGAAAGAAATAATTGGACCTTTCCAAAGTTTGTCAAAAGGATGAATTAAACAGACATGTCAAACTCAAAGCCCGCGGACAAGATCAGGCCCACAATGTGGTTAGATGTGGCCCACGGGGCCACCCTTGAGATGGCAAGGGATCGGTCCCTGCCACCCCTGCCCATCCCAGTCCGGCTGGGTGCACGCACAGGAGGTAGCAAGTGTGCAGGAGCTGGCGCACAGCTGACATGATGAGCACCATCTTGCCCCACAGGCTGACCGTGTTACCTCACCAGGTAGAGCATCGTGTAGAGCCCCAGCAGCCACGCCTGCCACCACCAACTCCATGGCCTGCTCGCCAGCCCGCCCTCACCCACTGGTCTGGCAGGCCATGAGTGCTTCCCTTTCACCGGGACGTCTCCTGCCCCGCCTCTCATCCCGCCCCCCCCACGGGAAAGCCACAGCCACCAGTAGCACTGCCACTCTTGTACCCTCCCCTCATCCCTTCCTGGGCACGGAGGAAGGAAGGAAGGGAGGGAGGGAGGGAGAGAGATTGGAATGAGAGAGAGGGTAAGTCTGAGGGAAGTCCTGCCTTATTTATTGTCTTAGAAATACTTCATGTTTATGGCAAATCCATCCTTTCAGAAAAGGTTGTATACTCTAGCTTTCTATATAATTATTTAATACTTAGCCTTCCTTCCTCCCTCCCTTCCTCCCTCATTATAAACTCTACTTTGCCATAGCTATCTCAAGTTTTTAAGCTGATGTTTGTCTGCTTGACAGTACAGGGAATTTGTTTATTTAAATTCTGCGTTCTATTTTTTTTTTAAAAAAAACACATTCACTTTGCAGATATGATTGGGAAAATATGTTGATGACGCTGCCTGTAAAGCTTTTCACAGAAAAAGCTGCTAACATCTGTAATTGCCATTTAATGAATATTTGTAGGCTCTGTCAGTTTGTGACTACTGAGGTGGCTAAACAATTGGCTCTTTGATGTGTCTTACGTGGGGTGTTGTAGCAACCTGCTCCTGCATTCAAATCAAAGGACAGAATGAGGTCTCAGGTAAGCTAGGCAGCCTGCCATCTGGGTTAAATGAGGCCTCATTCTGTCCTTTGATTTGTGTGCTGTTGATGGACCTTTCTTATTTCTCTCTCCTGTTTCTTAAAATATACCAGTATAAATCAGTGGAGTTGACACATTGTGCCCTGTGATGGGCATACTGGGCTATTTGAAAGACCTCTTGGTGGCTCATGAGTCTACACAGTGGATGCAGTTACTGCGCTAGGTTCAGTTCATTCTCCTATGTATTAAAATGACAATTTCACAATCAAGAGTCTTTCCTCACTGAGCTTAGCTTCTCTAGAATTGGCTCCCACCGGAATTCCATGGGTTACTGGTGGGTGATAAATAACTTTACTGCTATTTTAACTATCATTAACAGCAGTATTTTTCTTTCTAATCTAGTGTTCCTCCACTTGACACCTTCCAGGGTTTGGGTACCTAGGCTAGGATTGTGAGAGCTGATCTCCAGTTTGATTGGAGAACAGCAGGGTAGAAAAGCCTGCACAATCTTTGTAAAATGACTGTGTACAATACGTTTTCTAGGTAACATGTTCGTTATCTGACTAGTCAACATCCAAATAGTACCAAATACTTTAAGATTACAGATACTCCTCGGCTTATATCACTTCATTTAGTGACCATTCAAAGTTACAACAATACTGAAAAAAATGACTTGTGGCTGTGTTTCATACTTGTGACTATTGTAGCATCCCCATGGTCACATGATCGAAATTCAGATGCTTGGCAACTGACTCATATGTATGACGGTAGCAATGTCCTGGGGTTATGTGATCACCTTTGGCGACCTTCTAACAAGCCAAATCAAGGGGGAAGCCAGATTCACTTAACAACCGTGCTACAACTGCAATGATTCATTTAACCACTGTGGCAAGAAAAGTCATAAAATGGAGCAAAACTCACTTCACTGTCTCACTTAGCAGCAGAAATTTTGGGCTCAATTATGGTCGCAAGTCAAGGACTACCTATATTTTTAAAAGCCCCCCTGGGTCTTTGTAACCAAAAATATTTACCTCTATATTTTATTTCTGCGTGGTTGGCAATTGTATCGAATGACGGGTAATTTTATTAAACTATGTCCAATGCACAGAAAGTGAGGCAGTTTCTCAGCCCAAAATGTATTCATGTGGACACATAGATTGCTATTAATAATATAATGACTTCAACTCAGTAGGAACCTTGGATTTCATTTCTCATCTGTAATTATTTTAAAATGTCTTTTAATTGAATATACTCCTGTTTTATTTATTTACTACTAGAGAGCCAAAGAGCATATCGATTTGTTCAAGGCAAGGACTGGGGTTTTAAAAAATTCATTCGAAGAGACTTTTTACTTGAGGAAACTAATGGTCTTTTACCAGATGATAAACTTACGCTATTTTGTGAGGTAGGTAATCAATCTGTGCTTTTTAAAATAGAATATTGGTTTCCATGGCTATGAATGAGAAATGAGGAGAGCTTTAAATGTTAAGTTTATCCCTTCGTATTAAAGAAACACCCTGATCAAAGGTTTGAGCTTAATGGTTTTCTTACGTATTTGATGCAAGATCCATTTTCTATAAATAAGTTGCCCATTAGACACATTGCTATTTAGCACAAAATGAAAAGAAGCCTGAGGAATACTCCTAAGATGTCTGTCTGTCTGTCTGTCTGTCTGTCTGTCTGTCTGTCTGTCTGTCTGTCTGTCTGTCTGTCTGTCTGTCTGTCTGTCTGTCTGTCTGTCTGTCAATCAATCACAGGAGTATTCCAGCTTCCACTCCATCCTCATGAGACTATATAATGTTCGCATGCTTCTAAATTGACCAGAACTTTGGATGCAAAGTCTTAAAAGACAAAATAATTGATTCCCATAATGAATACTGTGTGATGATCATGGTGATCCTGGATTTTTCTTGATTAGCTTACCTACCAAGAAAACAGACAGGAACAGTTATGGAATATGTTTTAAGAAGATGGAATTTCTAAATCATAAGTTTGATATGCTAGAATTAGTAATTGCTCAGTAAAACTGACAAAATTGCTTTTCTCAAAACAGTTGTGTTTTTTCATTACATTGATGATGCCCGCCGTGACATTAGATATTTAAAAATTCTTCTGACATTCTTCAGATTTAAATCTGTTAACAATATTACAAAATTAAGGCAATCTTTCTTAACAGTTAATTTAAAATTAAATCAGTGTAGATGCTCTGATAAAATAGATCCTTGGCTTAAATCAATAAATCACTGTTAATTAGGTCAGTAACCTAAACTGTCTTAGTAAAATCCAGAAAGACTGTTTGTGGTGTTTCTAAATGGAAACTAGTGAAAAAGGTTATGATCTTAGTATGGTGAGTGTTAAATATACTTTGGGTGGTTTATCTCTGCTGCCGTGGACTGATTAGTGGCTTAGGAAGATGATAGATGCTGCAACTGCTAATAAGTTTGCTTTGATCTTTGTATTTACAAGAAACATGTGCAAAAATTTCTTGGCAAGCTTACAAGTTAATTATGTGCCATTATATTGTGCATGAAGAATAATGGAAATGTGGCCCTTGAGACTAAATGGGTACAAATGTACTGCATCTTATTTTAGTTAGACAGACAGGCTAAATTAGCTGCGTGATGCATTTGTTATGAATACAATTATTGCATTGACAAGTGGATGTAACAAGCCTGAGTCTGAAAGGATTCTCATGTTATAAAATATTCCTGAATCAAAAGAGTTCTGCTGCCAACCAAACTTGTTAGAAGCAAATATTTAATGTGTGTGCATCAGATAAAGTCTGTTGTATTGCAGTGGTTTTGATGCATTGATTCAGGAGCATCCAGTCTTACTCTTTGTTTTCTTAACTCCTTTAGGCGCTTCAATTATTGCTTGCAAACTGAACATACTTAGTTTTAAAATACAAGTAGTCCTCACTTAATGATGACTTGTTCAGCAACTGTTCAAAGTTACTACAGTGCTAAACAAGGAGACTTATGACCAGTCCTCATGTTTGTGTGTGTCGCAGCATCCCCATGGTCACATGATTGTAATTTGGGCACTTGGCAACCAACTTAACAATTACATTGATTGTAGCATCCTGCGCTTATGTAACCACTGTTTGCAACCTTCATTGTGAGCTTCTGACAAGCAAAGTTAATGGGAAAGCTGGTGGGAGGTTGCAACTGGTAATCATGTGACATTGCATTTAACAATCACACAGGATTCACTTAATGAAGGCAGCCAGAACTGCTGCAACTGCTGTAGGTCGGTGCAGTTACATGACTCATACTTTACAACCGTGTCATTTAGCAATGGAGTTGCTAGTCCCCATTAAGTGAGGATTACCGATAGGGAAGGTCTATAGCTCCTCATTTTCACTATTGAGATGGTTCTATGTTGCTGGGTCTTCTTGACAATCTGGTATCTATTGCAACTTTGGCAAATTGTGGGGAGGAGAATAGCAGGCACCCCAGAAGAAGAGTATTAATTTTCATTTCCAATAACTCAAATGAATGCAGATTACTGAAGGCAGAGAGGCTTTGTGTGTGCACAGATGTGTGTAAATGTGTGCATTTGACGGAAATCTGAATGCACGTGCATGCAGGTAATTTTTGGCTTATTACCACTTAATGACCGTTCAAAGTTATGACAAGTTACTTACACCCATCTTTGAAGTTATGACTGTTGCCCCACACCTCTTTACAAGGTCACATGATCACATTTTGGGTGCTTGACAACTCCTTTTGTCTTGTATTAACTTAAAATACCTTGCTTCATCTGCATACAGTATAATAAGACATTAGCTGGGACAGGAATTCTAGCCCAGCATCCTTCTATGTTGATCAGAACTGCTGGACAATGTAATTCAGCAACTATAGGTTTCCTACTCTTCAGTTGCAGAACCCTTTCTGGTGTGTCTTATAAAAATATCTATTCTAGAAACTTGATTTCTAACTTACACTTAATTTATACTTAAATACTTTCAATTCCATTCTGGCTTTGAATCTGATACAACAGGGGTCCCCAACCTATGGGCCACTAACGGGCTGTGAATTATTCAAAAACGGGCTGCCCAAAGCGGTGTTGAACGTGCGTCCATCCCCCTTTGTGCGAACAGCGGGCAAGTGCTTGCACGCATGCTCCCTTTATATAAGAGGTGGACACGAGTGCAAACCGCTTGCACAAGTGGAGCTGTGCACATATGCACGTTTGCCTGCCACTCCCGCAAAACCATCCCCACTCTCACACCGGTCCATAAAGCCGGAAAGGTTGGGGAAATTCTGTGATACAAGATAAAACAATTATATTGTATATAATTGTTGTTAGGTTTCATTAGGACCAGATTTCAAAGAACAACCTGTTAGAAATGTTCATCTCTTGCTTTTATTTAATGTGCTGATAGTACAATACATGTTGAGTTGTATTTGTCGCGTTGGTTTGTTGGTGTATTTTATTTTCCTAGCTAAATATCATGATTTTGGGAGTTGCCTAATGTATGTATAATTGCCTTATGAGAGTCTAACCATATAGTGATTGATGCTATATTTACTGTTTCGATTAGGTAAGCGTGGTCCAAGACTCAGTAAATATATCAGGACTGTCCAGTACAAACACCTTAAAAGTACCCGAATGTCGACTAGCTGAAGATTTAGGCAACCTCTGGGAAACCTCAAGATTCACAGATTGCAGCTTTTATATAGGAGGGCAAGAGTTCAAAGCTCATAAATCTATCCTTGCAGGTATGTTTTACTTCTATCTTGTTTCATAGTTTTTGTTACAATCTTGACCTATTATTAACACTCAGGTCTCTTCCCACAGCTCGTTCACCTGTGTTTAATGCCATGTTTGAACATGAAATGGAGGAAAGCAAAAAGGTGAGTGGAGTGCTGCTTTCATTTCTGTGGAATGATGTCCCAAAGGACCTTACCTTTGAATCAGCATACGGTGACAGAAACCAATCAGTCAGTTAAATCAGCAGGCCCTAACCTGTCTGGCACCAGGGACCAGTTTTGGAAGAAAAATAGTCTTCCAAGGACCAGGGGACAGGGGGATGGTTTTGCACGCAACCTACATCTCACGCATGAACAGATGAAGCTTCACTCGCTTACCCACTGCTTGCATGGCCCAATTCCTAACAGGCCACGGACTGGTAACTCAGAGGTTGGGGGGGGCTGGGTTAATTCAAAAAAACCTTATGGGCCAAATAATATTTCACAGTTTATTTGAACAAAGCATTTAAAAATATAATACTGTAGGAAGCGTTGCAAAAATGTGACCTGTAGAATAAAATAAAAGTGCTTTGGGGATATTGTGGATATTCATTTGCAGGTAGGCTAATAGATCGCATGTAGAGCCTTGGAGCATATTTTATAAGATTGGCTTTTCTGGATTGAATATGCCAATCTAGGATATGGAAAGCATGGGTTGTCTGTCTCAAAACTATCCTGACTCCTGTCTATGGAGAGTCTCAATCATCCAGGTCATGGTTATCCCAAAGGTGCTTTTCAAGAGGCGACTGGATTTTCTTGGGTTTTTTCCTTAAAAATGTTTTGCTTCTCATCCAAGGACCTTCTTCAGTTCTGAAGAAGCTTCTTGGATGAGAAGCGAAACATTTTCAAGGAAAAAAACAATACTTTCCAGTTGCTTTTGGAAGAGCATCTTTGGGATATCCTGACTCCGACTTGGTTATGAAGAAATAAAATTGTTTTCATAGTCCCTCTGTATTGTTGCCTCTAATGAACTGCTTTCCCAAAGGACCTCAGCTGGTACTATCAAGGGTTTTTTTTATTTTTTACTCATTTCTTTGGCCAGGCATTGTCAAGCCTTCAGCGGCAATTGTCTTATAACATTCTTTAAATTTAAAGCCAGCACTTTGCTCGAAGCCTGAAACAGATTTGGAAGTATAGAAAGTGCAATATTGGAACCACCTGTAAGGCAGGAAGAGGAGTATGAGGATTTTGCAAATAAGCTCTAGTTCTTTTGACTCATTTATTTTTTTACTTCTTTGATTTTTTTATTTGAATCCAAATGGAGCACTGTAGCAACTTCTAAAGTTCTATTGGATTTCATAGAAAAAATGTCACTGGCGGAGATTGAAGGAGCCTGACAATAGGTTTAGTTAAAGTTATCAACAAGTATAATGGGGGCCTAATGTGTTTTGTAGCCGCATTGCTTTAGGTTAAGTGGTTTATAATGCTTTAATTCAAAATTATAACAATTTTTTTTCTGATTTGTGTAACAGAATTGCGTAGAAATAAATGATGTAGATCCTGACGTATTTAAAGAGATGATGAGATTCATTTATACAGGCAAGGCTCCAAATCTTGACAAAATGGCTGACAGCTTGTTGGCAGCAGCAGATAAAGTAAGTAAAGAAAAACTATAGAAGGGCTTTACTATTTATTTTAACAAAATGTAGAAAGAGTTTGTTTTAACATTTTCCCACAGTCAGGAATGCTACCAGTACACTGAGTAAAAAAAGATATAGAAATTATGTAAACATGTTTTATACTATTAGTGAAAAACTGTTATCCATTATTTTGGGCAGTGTTCTGGAGAACCGAGGTGAATAACCACCCAGACATGTAGTTGTCTATTTAGAAAGAAGGAAGACCTTTTCAGACCTCCTATTGCCATAAATTCTTATTTCTATGGTCTTACATTAGCAGACTAGAAAAATGAAATTTATAGATGGGATTAATATTTTTATTGGTGTTTCAAATTTGGAGAATTAACATGCTTTATTAACTAATAATGGATCGATATACTTACAGACTTAGCATTTCCTTTGCCAGATATGTAGCCCTGGGAATTACTGTTCCTAATGCGAATTCATTGAAAGTAGAATGCTCTATCATTCAGATAGTTCATTGTGAGGGATTAATGATTTCATAGTTTCTATCAGGCATTTGTATATTAGAGATGTTTGCTTTTCTGACTGAAGCAGCATCAAATATGCGCAAACCATTTTTCCCCTCTGGTCAGTATGCACTTGAACGGCTGAAGATCATGTGTGAAGAAGCTCTGTGTAGTAACCTCTCAGTAGAAAATGTGGCAGACATTCTGATTCTCGCAGATTTGCACAGTGCAGAACAGTTGAAAGCACAAGCAATAGATTTCATTAACAGGTATGCGTTTTGTTTCCTTGAAAAATCTTTCTCCTTTGAAGGGAACACTTCAGAGAAATAATATTTGAGTATCTTCTCATGCACAGGTGCAGTGTTCTTAGACAGCTTGGCTGTAAAGATGGAAAAAACTGGAACAACAGGTATGTAGTTTAATCTCACTTAAGCATTGTCGGTAATCTAGCTCTGTGTGTTGTCTTGATTTCAAGAGAGAGGAAGTGGAATAAAGAGTGAGACTCAATGTTAAAATCAGACATATAACTCTTGAAGGGGGCTCTCCATATTTTCATTACAAATTTTTCCTATTTTATGTTTGTTGTATTTTAGTCTTTTCCCAGGTGGGGTTACATATCTATTTTATATTTGGGTATTTTGTAAACTTGATCAGGAAGCCAACTAAGCATAAATTGATAATGTGGCTTTGGAATTAATGGGAGATCCATCGTAGCTCACATATAAAATGCAGCATTGAATGAAATACAGAAGGGGTCCCTCTCCTACTCCCTTCCCCTAAATATTGTCATTTGATTGGAGGTTTGCCAGGCCTCCTCCCTTTTAGCCTTCAGTAAGGCTTTGAAGACTTGGTTTTTTCCCCCTAAGCATTGGGAGCTTAGATGATGGCACGTTAGCACGGATAGGCAACAGGTTTTTGTTGCTTTTAATGTTTTCATGTGTTTAGTTTTATAGTTTTAATATGGCTTTACATGTTTTAATTTTTGATCGGCAGCCGCCCAGAATTGTATGAAAGATGGGCAACTATATAAATGTTTTAAATAAATAAATAAAATAAAAGGCTTTGTAATTCCTACTCAGAACAAGAGAGGGATTTGCTGAAATATCAAGCAGGGTTTCCCAGCCTTTCAGCTACTAAAAAGTAGCTTTTGCAAGCCTTGATTACGCAGGTTTGGCTTTGGTAATCCCTGACTAAAATTTAAAAAAAAAAATGTTTTCGTTTTGGATCCTTATCTTCCTGATATCTTCTCCACTTGGAAGTATGTCTTGTTCATCTTAATGTAGCTTGATGTTTGAGTAGACATGCCTGTAGTATCTTGCAAATCTTCTCAACCTATGTTTTGTGCATCTTTTTTCTTTACAGCCAAGCCACAGACATAACGGAAACCGCAGGATGGAAATCGATGATCCACTCCCATCCCCACTTAGTTGCTGAGGCCTTTCGGGCCCTAGCCTCTGCACAGTGTCCGCAGTTTGGCATTCCGCGCAAACGGCTAAAACAGTCATGAAATCTTCCATGAACTCTCGGGAACTAATGCCTCCTCGGCCATATCCAGAAGGGGTTTTTGCAAACCATCTGCTCGAATATGTGACCCTTCTCTGCAGAACAGAACCAGAAAGCTTTTAAAGAACGGATAAATATATGGTTTAATAATCAGCTTTAAATCAGACTGATAATTCTCCAGTTCACTGAAAGGCCTTAACGTCAACTATTCTAGTTCATTTGTGATTTTCCTGTTTTTTTGTTTTTTAAATGGTGCCTTGTCGTTTTTGACTCGGCTTTGTAGGATTGCACTAGCTCCATAAGGCAGTAATGCTGATCAACGAAAAGTGTTTTCAAAAGAATCTTCTTCTCCTTTCCTTTTTTTTAAAAAAAAATCCCAAATGAAGATTATCAGTTGGTCTTATGGTAACTGGATTTCAACTAGCCCCCTGTTAAAAGCACTTGAACTGGGGGCAAACATACGCTCCAGTCCAAAATATTGTATTTAGGATGCATCTGCCTATCTTCAGAGAGTGCTGTCAGGCATGCGGTGGCAATATACTACTCTGAATATAATTTATTTTTCATTGGTTCAGGTGACTGAGGGAAATATGCAATGTCTTGGCTCAGAAATGTATTTTACTAGTATTTATAAATGCTTACTATGTGAGTGTGCCCATCAGTGAAAAAAAATATATAGGTTTTTTTTTTTTGGCCCATGTTGCTTTATAATCCATTGTTCTTTTACCTTGTACTGAACCAGAGCGAGAGTTAGTAAGGAGAGGATATAAGGGATATGTGCTGTGGAAGAAATGGTTATTTCTCAAATAGAATACATGGAAGGTTGAGGATGCTTAGGAGTGACCAAATGTTGATTTCAGAAATGGGCCAAAATGGAATCTCAGTATGCACTTTTAATGTGTAACTTTTGTATGTTGTGTGGTACATATATATTTTGGTTTTGATAAATATGGTACAGTACTTGTGGCCTAACTTTTGAAATACATTAAGATGCCCACAGCCACATGGGATTTAGTTTTGTTACTGCAAACAAGGAGCGCATGACTTAGAGATGCTGATTTTAACTTAATATCTTCAAATGTTCATGTTAGAACCCATTCTGTTTTCACACTTTGGGTAGGCTTAGCTCTGCTTCCTTAGTGTGTGAACGCACAAGCCTACTCTCTAGTGGAAATTGCACAGACACACACTTAGCAGGAAGAATAGAAGTCTGAAACGTCAGTATTTATAAGCACTGACCTGCTCTTTTTAGCCTTCATTATTGTATTAGCATTGTGGATGGTATTGAAATTCTGCCTAATGTGAAAAGGATCTTATAAACAACCTTGTAAATTGCTTGTAATGGAGGAAGGATTTTTAATTATTACTCTAATTATTGTTACTATTCAAAATTTAGCTTTAATGCCAACACTTTTGGTGTGTGTATTAGCATTGTTTACAATTGGAGGGATTTCTCTGCAACATGCACATTAGAAATGTTTTATTATCATGGATTTACCTTAATAATGGTGATGTGATATATCTGTTTTGTGAGAAAAATTGCATTGAATCATAAGTAAAGGGAATTTCCCGTGCTTTTGCATAAAAGGTTTTAGGTAGCCCGTTTGACTGACATGCTCAATTAATGAAGGTTTCCTTAGTTTTTCAAAAGATATTCCCTCTGTTTTCAGCAGGGAAGCGTTAATTCAAAGATTTATTCTGAAAGATTATTATTTTGAATATATGTAAAGAACAGTTGGGAGCAAAAAAAAAAAGTGCTTCCAAACCAATGCTAAAACTTGAAACAAATCCCCATCTCTCAACTTTTTCTTTCAGAGGAAAGGTCAGTGCAGAATTTGAACATGCATCCTTGAAGCGCCGTTAAAAGGACTATTTTAGATGCACTTCTGTGGTTTCAATGGGCCTGAACATTACTCAGTGAACCAAAGTGGTACAGCAGTGTTCTATCCAGAGAGGTGTTATAGTTTGTAATATTTCTAGGAAGTTTCTGTTTATCTAAATTAAGATCATGTACAGGTAGGTGTTCTTACCATTGAAAGTAAAAGAATGTAACGTCCCGCAGTAATAATAGAAGATTTTGCTGCACAGTAAACAACATATTCATATAAGCAACTTTGCATTTTGAATGTTGCAGCTATAATATAAAAGTGACTTGAATATTTAATAGAGTGATTGTCCATTTCAGCTTCTTCTGATAGTACTTGATACAGCAGTCAAGAAGAACATCTTAAACATTTTAAAAATCTTAATAGCACACTTTGTACCAAAAATATCAAGCACTGTGTGATAAGAATGAAGTACTTGTTTAAAGGCATCTTATCAAAAATTACAAGACGTTGCCATAGATGACCATAATAGCCAATCGTATGAATTGATCTAATATATTGTTTTACTTGTTGGCTACAGCAAAGAGTAAAATTAGTTGTTTTCTATGGATATGCTAATCCATCTTTATTTTCTCAAGGAACCACATTCAGTGTTTGCATTTTTCCAAAAGAGCTGACAAGAACAATCTGTATTTTCCATTTTTCTGTACCTATTGGCTGAAATCTGGAAAGTTTGTGAGAATGGGGAAGCCCACCCCCTACCTCCAGATTTTTAGGTCAAATATCACACTGCTGTGTTTGGCTTGCCTGTTCTGCTCCTCTCCATCGGCCTTCAGTATCAGACCTCTTTCCCTGACCCCAAAGAGAGCAGCCTGCATGTGTTGTGTTATGATGTGTGGGTTTTATAAGATTTGTTTTCTGAAACATGGGACTTGGATTTCTGCTAAAAATGATAGAGTTACCATTTACATTACTTATGTCGATGTTTTTCAATGAAGGAAGCCTCAGTAACTCATCCAGATTTTGGCAGTCCATTTACTGCACGCTGACATATATATAGTGCCCGGTGGCTTTTTGAAATGCAAACTGATGAAATGAAGAAAAAAATGGAAAGGTATGGGAGAAAAATCTAGACAGAAAGACTGATATAGAAATCATGAACATTATTTCTGGCCTGCTCATCACAGTTGTTCATTTCAAAAACTGGACATGCCAAATATTTTTTTAAAGACACACTTATCTCTTGTAACCAATTGCAGGTTGAAAATAGCTCTGGATATCCTAGAAAGGGGATTATTAAGATGAGGCATAGGTAAGGTATGAGTTGCTGCTTTTGTTTTGTAATTCCTTGATTTAAGTATGGCAATGTGATGAGTAATGGCTATTTGAGAGTAATTGGCAAGGCACTGATGGCTCTATTATGAAGGGGTTCCTTCTCGTTCAAAGATAGACATTTTTGTCAAATTCCTACAGAAGATATTAGGATAACCATTGGGGCATGCTTGGTTTTAAGGCTATAAAAGATTTCTTAAACCAATTGATGTGTAGCCCAAATTTAATTTTTATTGACTGGATTGATTGGAATCCTTCCTATGGACTCTCATTAGTTTCAGCGCATAGTACAGTTGCATTGATTTTCTTGCTGTTTTGCTTGCAGCAAATGGACTATTTCTGAAATGAATGCACATTATTTTTATCAGTGTTTGTTGTGGTTGCGTTTATCATGCTCTTGTAGTCTAGTTTATGCTGGATTTTGATATGTCCCAATGAAGGTATATTTTTGAGTCCTGTTTTAGAATTGAAAGATTGAAAGAATTCAAGCCTGTGCTTAATTGGAAATTATCCACATTACCTATCATGTTAAGACACTTGCATCAAACCATCCAGCCTTTTATATCTGCCTGATGTTAACAGTGAAATACTTCAGTGAGATACTTTTTGTACCTTGTTGCTGAAAATATTTTTGCATTTCAGGACATCAAGTTACAATAAAGTTGTTACTTATAAAGAAATATGTGCACATTGATGTCTTTGGGATATTGACTTTGCTGTAGTTCAGACTCCCTTGAGAGAGATAAAATGGGCACAACTTTATAGAGGTTGTAATCATCATGTTTCAAGTTAGAGAAACCTTTTCAAAAGATGCAATATTTTACTTTCCTGTTTGTGCTGTGGTTGTTTTTTTTTTAATTTCAGGAAAAAAAATCTCAACCTATTAATGACAATTTCTTCACAGTTGACTTCCAGTTAGTGGAATTTCTTTCTCAAGGAATTAGGTCACCATTGCTGTCCCAAATATGCTTTTTCACGAGGCAACTGGACTGAGAATCTCCATAGACAAGTCACCATTGCTGTTTTTTTAATTTATGGTGAAATTTTCAGCATAAAGATAATCTAAAGCGAGTTGGCACAGCATCTTATGAACCAGCCTCTGATTTCATCACATGATTTGCTATAGGTTGCAGAAAATAAAAGGTTGACAAAATTTCACTCAGGTGTTAGGAAAAGGTTTTATTTCCATGCTTCCTTCTGTGCCTGCAGGAAGAGACTCTTTTATTATAAAGAGCAGCAGCTGCTCCCTCCTCAGAAAGGAAGGTTCAGTTGTGTATGTGAGTGTGTGTATACATGTACATAAACATATATATCTACCACCACCTTATTTTTATAAATATCTCAATGCAGCCAACATACCTAATACTCCCTCCTTCTATTTCCCCCACAACAACAATCCTGTGAGGTGGATCAGGCTGAGAGAAGTGACTGGCCCAAAGTCAACCAGTTGGTTTTCATATTTGGGGGGGGGGGACTAGAACTTGCCACCTGTCAGTTTCTAGCCTGGTGCTTTAACCACCAAGCCAAACTGGTTCTAAATAGTGTTAGTTTGGCAAAATTCTGTGTATTAGCCAGCATGACTGGCTGAAGAATTCTGAGAGTTAAAGTCCACAAGTGTTAAAAGTTGCTAAGGTTGGAGAACCCTGGTTTAAACAAAGACTAGAACTTGACTGGATTTTCACTGTCTTCTTGGCTTGGGCCTGTCTTCTGTGAATGGTAGATGGCCTTCCATTTCTTGAAGGGTGATTATGGGTCTAAGGCATTATTTGTTCATGCAAAATTCCTGGGTAGCATGCTTTAAAGCTGGATCTGTGGCATTTTTCAAGCATGTTAAGGGCATTCTGAAAATATGGGCAGCCATGTTGAGCTTTCTGAATAGAATTATGCAAAGTCTCGAAGTGCTTTCAGTTCTAGAATGGCATCCAGGGAAACTTTTTAGGATAGTTTTATTTTTGGTACTTAGAATAACCTCTTTAACTACTGAAAACAAAAAGAAGACCCTCCCAAGTTTTGAAAGCAATTATTTCAAGAGGATTTAAACTATAGTTAAGGGGAAGAAAGAGAGAAACTATTTTCCAGTGCTAATAACAGACTCCTACTTTTGACAAGCTGACAGAATTAGAGAATTGAAACTTGATGAATCTTATTTTCTTTTTCCTGTCATGTAGTTCAATTTTCCCAAATTATTTCTCTAATTAGGTCTAGTGTTTTTGTGAAGGAAGGCCTAATGATAATTAATACATTCTTTTAATTTGCATATTCAAGCTCTGGCGAATCTAAAATATGCAGATTTGTTGTCAGGGCAAGTCAAACTTCCTTGGTGGGATAAATGGTTGAAATGCACATTTCCCAGATAATGTTCATTATTGATGAGTCCACAGGATTTTCAAACGCAACCTTTTCCCTCAGGTAAATCTGTTCTCTTGATGAACAGCTTATTTGGGATTGAACCTATTGAACCTCTTTAATAGCTTATTATAAGGGACTCACCCACTAAGTGAGTTTATTTCTTTAAGGCAGTAAA